CACCATGGCCAGATGGTGACATATGACTGAAGTTAAAAATCCACAATTAAAGGACAGCTTAATGGTGAGCATGTAACCTTTTTTGATAATTGTAAAAAAAACTTCTTCAATTATATCCTTCAGGGGAGGAAATCTGCCATCCTTACCTGTTCTGGTCTACAGGTGACTCCAGACCCTGAGCAATGAGGCTGATTCTTAACAATCCACTTGAATGGTCAAGCGAGCCTTTCAGTTTAATGGGAATTAGGGATGGACAACAAATGCTGACCCTGTGGGCAATGCTCACATCTCATGAATAATAAAAAAAGCCCAGGTATAGATCAGTTGGGCCAAATGGCCTGATCCTGTGCTGGAAGATTACATTGGAACAATATTTTGATGCTAATCCAGATCTGAGCATTGCCCAGCTGCTCTTCAGAATGCTGCCTAAGGATCCTCTACAGCCAAATGAGACGGCAGACAGGAAGGAGGGCTTTACGTCTCATCTGAAAGATGGCCCCTCTAACAGTGCAGCACTCCACCCAGGTTGCACTGCAGTCTCAGCCTCGATCTTTACTCTCAGGTCTCGAGCCAGACTTCATTGGCGATTTCAACAAAACTTAGAAAACTCTTATAGGGATGGACAGCGAAGATGTAAAGAGAACATTTCCTTTGGTTCTGGGGAATAGAATGAGGGCACACAGTCTCAGAATAAAAGACAAACCTTTTAGGATCATGATGAGGAATAACTTCTTCACTCAAAGGGTGGAGTTTTCTACCTCAGTTCAGTCATTAAACAGACTGAAGACAGAGTCTGATTGGTTTCTTCTTACTCACAACATCAATGGATATGGAGATCGTGCAGGAATTTGGCATTGAGGAAGATGATCAGTCATGATCTGGAATGGAGGAGTAGTCATGAGGGGCTGAATGGCCTACTCCTGTTCCTATGTTCATTTGGGATGATTTGTGCAGGTCCAGAGGGAAAGTGTCTTTATTTTGCAAATTGCTTCGTAATAGTGAATGCGGCTATAAAATAGAGGGAACTCGCTCCCCATTAACTAATCAGGTGTAGGTATTGTCACAGGGTGATCCGGGGAGCTACAAGTTAGTGAAAAGCTGAAAACTGGGGAATACTTAAAAGGTAAGTAAGTTAGCATAACGAGATTCTTTTGTCTTCAGGCAAAGAGTAATAGGGGTCTGGGAAAAGTTGTTTTGAAGTTTAATGCAGCAGATAGGACCCGTTGAAGGAGATACAGTAAAAACAGACCCTAATGTCAATTGGATTAATGTGTGAAGAGAGAAGGAATTTTTGAGAAGGTGGGGCAGCGAGGCTGGGATCGAACACGAAAGCATGGGTCGGTTCTGCTTAAGGGCTTTTCTGCTCCACTTAAAAATGCTTCTGCTCCAACATGTTTGAGGCTACCTACTGCAAGTCAAGAAGAGAACAGGGGCTGAATAAGAATTTCTTCGGGAATAAGCTGAAACTTGCACTAGGCAGCTGAAATTGGCAGTGACATTGAAGTATCTTAACTGTGACTGCAGGGTCATAAATGGGAAACTCCGACTATCTAAGCCGAACTTCCTGAATTCTCCAAAATATCCAAAAATAGTTGGAAACCTAGAAACTGTAGCAGTTTAACTAATTTATTCTAAAAAGATAATCTATTTAGCCTGACATCGAAAACATTGTTATTTGCAAATTCTGAAGTGTCTTAATTTGCCGTACAGCATTAATGAAATAATAATTTTCATACAACCTGTTAAATTACAATCCAGCCCTTCAGTATTCACTCAAGTCTGTTACATGCAATCATTCTAGCATCCAGAATTAGTATTTTGAGAAATGCTCTTATTATTTGGTTCACATCTATGTCATGATACATAATAAATTAGTCATTAACAAATTAGTGCTCAAAATAGCCAGACTAACCTTCTTCCACTTGCTGGGAAATGCCCAGTATTGCCTCCAATCAGCTCTTTCTCACAAGAGTGCAGGAAATGTAACACTAAATAATTGTCAAGCCATTCCTGATGCTGTAAAGCAGGAGTTTTTTAAAAAAATTCTCTCATGGGACATGGATGTCGCTGACTGGTCAGCATTTATTGCCTATCCCTGGCTGCCCTTGAGAAGAGCTGGGCTCCAAACTGGTTAGAATAATATTCACAGCTGTGTTAACACTCAGACTTTCCCTAAGATGCAGGAACATAGGCAAGGAAGGGGGCCATTTAACCCCTTCAATCTGTTCTGCCTTTCAATGAGACCATGGCTGCTGTGCGACCCAACTTACTGGACCATCTTTGTTGTGTTTCTATTCCACATCTCTGCCAATCTCAGTTCTAAGATTAACAATTAATTTGGTCTGATGTACCATTTGAGGATGAGAATTCCAAATTTCCATCACATTTTGTGTGAAAGTGTTCCCCTTGTTTCAATCCAAAGAGCTTCCCAGATGGGGAGGTGATGGCTTACTGGAATTATCACTAGACTATTAATCAAAACTCCCAGGTAACAATCTGGGAACATGGGTTCAAATCCTGCCAAGGCAGATTTTGGAATTTGGACTCAATTAAAAATCGGGAATTAACGTGATGATCATGAAACTGCTGTTGATTGGTGAGAATACCTCACTAGTTTCCTAATGCCATCCTCAACTGGTCTGGCCAACATGTGACTCCAGACCCACAGCAATGTGGTTGACTCTCAACTGTCCTCTGGGCAATTAGGGATGGACAATAAATGTTGGCGTAGCCAGTGACACCCACAATCTGTGAAAGAATACAAAATAAATTAGGCTGTCTAAGCCCCCCAAAACAGCAGAAATAGTTTCTGTGTCTTGATAATGTATGTCCCCTTGTGTAATTTGAGCCAGATATCATGAATTTCATCACACATCTTCCAAAGTTGACTTTTGCTTCCAGGTGAAATTAGAGACAATACTAGTTCCAGTTGAAAATATTGTCCCACCTTCTTCACATTGTCTCGTGGACAAGGAACTGCAAAATAACCAGAGGGAGGGAAGCTAACTTGAGGAAGTGAACACGGCTAAAAAGATATCAAAAGGAACAAGGTGGGCTTGGTTTATTTTATACATTCAGGGTCTGAACACCACTAGCTTTCGTCCAGTATTTATCACCTAATCCCAATTGCCTGGAGGATGTGGTGGTGAGCCATTTCCATCAATTGCTGCTGTCTATGTGATGTAGGAACATTCCATGCTTTAAGGCAAGAAGTTCCAGGATTTTCACTCAGTGACACTTAAGGAACGGCGATATATTTCCAAGTCAGAATGATGAGTGGCTCAGAGGGGAGCTTGAAGGGGACAGTGTTCCCATGTATCTGCTGCCCTTGTCCTTCTAGATGAAAGCTGTCATGAGTTTGGAAGTTGCTGCCTAAGGAGCTTTGGTGAATTTCTGCAGTGCATTTTGTACTTGGTACACACTGCTGCTACTGAGCGTCGGTGGTGGAAGGAGTGGGTGTTTGTGGGTGTGGTGCCTGTCAAAGGGGCTGCTTTGTCCTGGATAGTGTGAAGCTTCTTAAGTATTGTTGGGACTGCACCCATCCAGGGCAAATGGGGAGTACTCCATCACACTCCTGACTTGTGTCTTGTCGATGGTGGGCAGACTTTGGGAAGTCAGGCAACTTACAACTCGGAAATGTGAGGTTTGAAGCCAGATATTAGTAGCGACAAATATTTAAATAATTCCATGAATTTTCATCCAGTTGGATGCCTGGACGCACATTTCCAACTTTATCAGGCATTTCTCCTCAAGTGCCAATATTTGAATGAAAGAACTGGACTTCACAACATCTGATTTTCCAAATGCCATACCACCACACTAAACAGTTTGCCCTCCGATAGAGTTCAGCAATTTTCAACAGGGTCGAATGGGTCAAATGTTTAAAATGTTCACAAAAGAACAGTAAAGGAATCAATAAAAGGATTTAGGCAATTTGACACAGGCATATAAACATCTATATATAAATTTGACCAAATTGTTATATATTAAAATAGATCCATAAATTTGTTTTGTGCATAAGCAGTGTTACAGGCATAGCTTCTGATAATTACAATGGGTTTGCAGTATTCGAGCGAAAAAAAATTCTGTGGAGCAAAAAAAAAGTTCAATGTGTGCCTAGTACTACAAGCATTAATTCTTAGCGAGGTCATATGCAGAACATCTGTCATTCTGTCTATAGTCTACAAGCCTCAACCAGGCCTCTGCACGGCTATTGATTTTTCTTGCATTTGCCTTAATTTACTTAACCATCACAAAATCCATCAGTAAGTAAAGGGCAACTGTCCATTAACATGTCATTTACCGGCATTCTCATTTCTTTCTGCTACGTCCTTTTGGTAAATATTTCTTCTAAACTGCTCTGTGTTTATAGTGAAGAAATGAATTAGGGATTCACACACCTGTTTCTGTTCAATAACTGCTTTGCAGAGGTACATGTAATGTGCTTAAGGAGAAAATAAATATCTAGACGTTATTACATCTGTGTGCAAAGGGTGGTAAATTAGATCCTAATTATATTATAAGAGGCATGCAGCTTTTTCAGCTCAGATTTTACATGTGCATTTTACAGATCTCAAAAGCTTTACTGTGACTAATTCATGAGGTAGTGTTTTGAGTGCTTTCATATGTGGTTCTCCTGCAGTCTTATTTACAAATAAACCAGGGCACTTTCTGCAGCCTGTTAGCGTATTACTGCAGTGTTTAAGATGCTTTGAATGAGTGCGCATGGCAGCAATCAGAAAGCTCTGGCTTTCGCTAATTACTCTATCACATAATTTCACAAATTGGCATTCTTCTGGGGAGCTGTGTGCAAAAGAAAGAACAGAGTGGGAAGTCAGGCAGTGCTTCATCCTTACAATTTACTTCTCGATAAATTCAACATGAAAACAGAAAGCAGCAAGGGGTGGTAGTGGGAAAGGGGAGGGCTGGTGCGGTTGCAGGGGGGTCAAAAATGGGAGGGAAGACTTCTGAAAAATTATTTTTGACCAAAGGCAACCATGTGGTAACCCTGTGTTATAAACACTAACTACATGGGGCTGAATGAGCTCAAATTTCGAACATTCACTTTCTGACTACTGCAGTAGTTTTCACACGTTGGGAGTTGTTATTAAGATAAAGAGGTGGTTATTGTCACAAATTTGCACCTGCAAGAGGCACACAGGTCTTTCTTTAGTTACTACATATTATCTCAAAGGAGAAGCCTACCCTGCCAAGGCTTGTGGCATCGTTAATTTCCAGTTACCTGCTTATTTGGCTTCTACTCACACTGAAGGCATTAGAAAAGAAATCTCATGTAACAAGTTTGACCTGGCGTACATGACCACCCTCAAAATGAAATAAACAAAAGGTCTCACCTTCCTTCCAGCAACACCACAATAACTTGTTTCATTTTATTCCAAAAAGACATTGGCACTTTAAGAACTGCTTCATTAACTATTTCTTGGAACTCATCCTTGCCACAATAGCGAATGGTCAAACCAGGTTTCTACACACATAGGTGAAGAGACCTCCAGAAGTACCCTGGAGTCATCCAAGATACAACCATATAGAAAGAGAGAGAGAGAGAAACTGTTCTAAGGCGCAGGAATTCGGAATGGAGGCGCAGAGGTGAAGGGGGACAGATTTAAAGTCATTAGCAAAAAAAGCAAGAAATACAGAAGAAAGCTTCTGCATAGAACTCTTGGTTAGGGTGTTGAGTCTGTGTGAGAATGAGAGTGTGGTGAATCAGGATCAACTAAGGCTTTCAACAAGGAATTAGATAGTTATTTGAGAAGAAACAACGTGCAGGGTTAGAGAGAGAATGGCACTCAAAAGTGATGCCCACTTGGGAGCTGGCACAGACACAATGTGGTGAATTGCATCCTTCTTCACTGTAACAATTTCAAGGAATATTTTAAAATTCATTCAGGGATGAGGAATGCCCATCCCTAATTGCCCAGAGGGCAGTTAAGACTCAACCATATTCCTGTGGGTCTGGAGTCACATGTAGGTCAGACTGGGTAAGAATGGCAGTTTCCATGGGGATGGGGAGATCTTATAGAAACATATAAGATTATGAAGGGAATAGATAACGTGGAGGCAGGGAGGTTGTTTCCGCTAGCAGGTGCAACTAGGACTAGGGGGCATCGCCTCAAAATAAAGGGAAGCAGATGTAGGACTGAGGTCAGGAGGAACTTCTTCACCCAAAGGGTTGTGAATCTGTGGAATTCCCTGCCCAGTGAAGCAGTTGAAGCTACCTCGCTGAATGTTTTTAAGGCAAGGCTAGATAAATTTTTGAACAGTAAAGGAATTAAGGGTTATGGTGAGTGGGCGGGTAAGTGGAGCTGAGTCTCAAAAAGATCAGCCATGATCTTATTAAATGGCGGGGCAGGCTCGAGGGGCCAGATGGCCTACTCCTGCTCCTAGTTCTTATGTTCTTCTGTTCCTTCCCTAAAGAACATCAGGTGGGCTTTTCTAACAATCAACAATGGATTAATTCCAGATTTTTATTAAATTTAAATTCCACCATCAGCTGTGGTGTGATTCAAACCCAGGTCCCCTGGACATTAACAGGATCTCTGGATTAATATTCTACTGACAATATCACTAGGCTATCACCCCACCCCGGGAAGATGCTGCAATAAATAACCCAATATAGGGAAACAAAAATCTCAGTTGATCCTTAAGCAATTAAAGCAATCCTTAGCAAATCTGCGCTCAATTTATTCAATTGGGGTAGTGGTCATTGACTGGCTTGTTAATTCAAAGGGAATGTAATGTAAAAGTAAGGAGGTCTTGGTGAAATTATACAAGGAACTAGTGAGACTACAGTTGGAATATTTAAACAATTCTGGGCCCCTTATATTAGCAAAAAGATACACTGATATTGGAAGCAATCCAGAGAAGGTCCACTAGGCTGACACCAGGTATGGAGGGACTGTCTTATGAGGAGAGGTGAGTAGATTGAACTTGTGCTTATTGGAATGTAGAAGAATGAGAGGCAACCTTATTGAAACATTCAAGATTTTTTGGGGGCT